TCTCTGTGTAGCTTTGCGCCTTTCCTGGAACTCACTTTGGAGACCAGGCTGGCCTCGAACTCACAGAGATCCGCCTGCCTCTGCCTCCCCAGTGCTGGGATTAAAGGCGTGCGCCACCACCGCCCGGCCACACACTTCATTCTTATTCTTCCCAATAAAAACCTTCCCGAGAGCCTGGTCCTAAGCCTGTTTCAGCCTTTTGGGGCAGGGCAAGCCAGCCATTGAGGAAGTACTCAATAAATACCCATTAAGTGGACCAGAAGCTGATAGAGGTTCTGCTGTAAGAGACCACAACTGAAAATGTGAATAATAATAATAATAATAATAATAAGAAGAAGAAGAAGAAGAAGAAGAACAACAACAACAGCAGCAGCAGCTAAGGCTGATACAAAACTTAACCCCTGCCAAGCACTGTTATAAAGGTTTTTTTTGTTGTTGTTGTTGTTTGGTTGGTTGGTTTGGGTTTTTTTGTTTGTTTGTTTGTTTTTCATGACAGGGTCTCTTTGTGTAGCTTTGCGCCTTTCCTGATCTCGCTCTGTAGACCACTCTGGCCTCGAACTCACAAAGATCCACCTGGCTCTGCCTCCCGAGTGCTGGGATTAAACCATGCACCATCACTACTCGGCTGTTCTAAAGTTATTTCCAGTGTTAACGCTCACAACATCCCCTTCGTGGACTCGATTGTTATCCATTTACGGACTCAGCAGCCTGCACTGTCCTGGCCTTCTACCTCAGGACCAAAAGGGGCTGAAGAGATATCTCAGAGAGCAAACTGCTTGTCACATGAGCGTGAGGACTTGAATTTAATTTTTAGAATTCATGGAAGAAGGCTGGGTGTTGGGGCCATCCAAATGACTCAGCAGGTAAATAAGTCTGCTGCCAGGCCTGATGACTTGAATTTGTTCTCCAAGACCCACACGGTGGAAAGAGAAAACCAACTCCCCAAGGTTGTCCTCTGACCTGGACATGTTTGCCTTGGCATGTGCATGAACACACACACACACACACACACACACACACACACACACACACACACACACACAAGTAAATGTAATAAAAAAATTTTTTTGGCCGGGCGGTAGTGGCACACGCCTTTAGTCCCAGCACTAGGTAGGCAGATCTCTGTGAGTTCGAGACCAGCCTGGTCTACAAAGCAAGTTCCAGGAAAGGCGCAAAGCTACACAGAGAAACCCAGTCTCATAAAACCAAAAAAAAAAAAAAAAAAAAAAAAATTTTTTTTTTGTTTTGTTTTTGAACTGTCCAGGACTTACTAACCCTGTCGCAACCCCAGCGAGTAGGAACAGTGAAGACCAATGATATTTCCTTTCCCATCAGGCTCATTCGAAAGTGTGGCACAACTACGACAAGAACTTCCGCCCCCAGCAGAAGGGCTGGCTGTCCATTACCCTGGGGTCCCACTGGATAGAACCAAACAGAACGGAAGACATGGCGGATGTGGTGAGCTGCCAGCACTCCATGGCGTCCGTGCTTGGATGGTTCGCCAACCCCATCCACAGGGACGGCCAGTACCCGGAGTACCTGCAGACGATGCCCGACATAACCTTGTTCTCCGAGGCGGAGAGGGAGGAGGTGAGGGGCACGGCCGACTTCTTCGCCTTTTCCTTCGGGCCCAACAACTTCAGGCCTTGGAACACCGTGGTGAAAATGGGACAAAATGTATCGCTCAACTTAAGACAGGTGCTGAACTGGATTAAACTGGAATATGACAACCCCCGAATCTTGATTTCGGAGAATGGCTGGTTCACAGACAGTTATATAAAGACAGAGGACACCACGGCCATCTACATGATGAAGAACTTCCTCAACCAGGTTCTTCAAGGTTGGTCGCACTCTGGCTCAGTTTTCAATAAACGTATGTGTATGTATGTTTCCTCGTGTGAGCGTAGGCCACGTGTGTCCAGGTGCTCTGGGAGGCCAGAAGAGGGAGTCGGACGGCCTGGAGCTGGAGTTACAGGCAGTTGTGAGCCACCTGACTGACACTGGTGTGAGGACCAAACTCAGGAAGCTCAGGAAGAGCTGCAGGCATCTCTAACTGATGAGCTGTTCTCTCCCAGCCCAGCTCAAGGTTTTGTTTAAGCTAGTTACCTTGAATATGTCATTACGGATGATGGTTTTTCTATCGTTCAGTATTGGCCAAAATTTGTTGTTGTAAGTGCCAGGGTCCCGCATAACCCAGATTGGCCTTGAATGTTCTGTTTCTACTCCTAAATGCTAGGATTATAGGCATTAACCACCCAGCTGTTTCTTTCTTTATAAAGGACATATGTTTAAAGTTTCCTATCAAGAGTGATTATTGGAGGCCGGGCAGTGGTGGCACACGCCTTTAATCCCAGCACTCGGGAGGCAGAGCCAGGCGGATCTCTGTGAGTTCGAGGCCAGCCTGGGCTACCAAGTGAGTTCCAGGAAAGGCGCAAAGCTACACAGAGAAACCCTGTCTCGAAAAACCAAAAAAAAAAAAAAAAAAAAAAAAAAGAGTGATTATTGGAATCATGATCCTTTTTTGTTGTTGGTGGTGGTTTTTTGTTTGTTTATTTTGTCTTTCGAAACAGGGTTTCTCTGCATAGCCCTGGTTACTCTGGAACTTACTCTGTAGACCAGGCTGGCCTCAAACTCACAGATCTGCCTGCCTCTGCCTCCCCAGTGCTGGGATTAGAGGCATGCGCCACCACCCCCTGGCATATGAACATCTTGACACGTTTGAACAATGAAAGTTCTGAAAACAAAGCTGAGCCATTTCTACGCTCTTGGAGATTTTTTTCCTACCTCAATGTCACCTCATTCACTACTCAGGCAGTGACATCTACAGGCCAATGGAAATGAGGAGGCCAAAGACAGCTCAGGGTGTCCCCATCAGATCAGGCTCCACCCTACCTGAACAGAATTCCTGTGGGTCTTTCTCCAGCTGAGCTGCTCTTTCGAAGTCCTAAGTATTGGAGCTAGGGAGCAGGCTAAGAGGGTAAAGTAGTTGCTATGAAAGCAAGAGGACCTGAATTGGACCCCCAGCACCCACAAACACAGCTGGGCGCAGGACAGGTGGGATGACTCAGCCAGGAAAGGCACGTGCCCCACCAAGGCAGACCCCGGAATTCAATCCGGGGACTCACATGGTGGAGAGAGAGAAGTGACTTCAGCGAGTTGTCCTCACACATGCACTAGGGCATGCATTCACCCACACACATGCACTGCACACACACACACACACACACACACACACACACACACACCCCTCCCACCACAATACATAAATAAAGTAGAACTTCAAAACTAAGTCCTAAATGTGGAGAGAAATCCCAGCTCCTGCAGGAAAGAGGCTTCAGGAAGGGTCTTCAGAAAGAGCAAGTCTTGGGACTGGGCTGGAGAGATGGCTCAGAGGTTAAGAGCGCTGGCTGAGGTCTGAGTTCGATTCCCAGCAACCACTTGGTGGCTCACAACCATCTATAGTGGGATCTGATGCCCTCTTCTGGCGTAAAGGTGTACATGCAGATAGAACACTCGTATACATAAAATAAATAAATAAATCTTAGAAAAGAAAGAGCAAGTCCCTCTCCTGGTCTCACTGCCCCACTGTGCAAGAAGGAACAGCATGAAATACAGCCACACCAGGCCCTGGGCCACATGAACATGGCTGGCCTCAAAGAACACTGCCGACAGGCCCCTGGGTCAAGTGCCACGCACTTAGGCAAGAGGGGTTTCTATTCCATCCTTCCTCACAACACCACACCACCATGGGATCAGAACTATGGCTTGTTGAAATACATTTGCCTTTTTGGAATCTTCTGCCATGGTTGTCTACCTTTCTTTCAAAAAAGGATTTTCTACCTTTTTTTTTTGTTTGTTTGTTTTTGTTTTTGTTTTTGTTTTTCGAGACAGGGTTTCTCTGTGTAGCTTTGCGCCTTTCCTGGAACTCACTTGGTAGCCCAGGCTGGCCTCGAACTCA